GATGTTTGGACATTTGATGGTATCTAGTATTTCTCATATATTATTCTCAAATTTTGGGGCCATTTTCTCAGTCTTCATGGTGGATTTTTCTAGGCCAGCTGTTTTCTCTTCTACATCTGAGATTCATGATCTAGTCTGCTTTTAATATTTTCAAGGGAGATTTTGACTTCCTGTATTATAGTCTTTATCTCTAACAATTCTATTTGATTCTTTTGTAAAGTGTGTAATTCCTCTTTCAGATCCTGCAAGAATTTCCTCACCTTCCAGCACTCATCAGCTCCTTTCTCCTTTCTCTTTTGCAGTTCATTATCTCCCTTCTCTTCCATCTCTGTTAGCTTCACCATTATGAATGTTCTAAATTCTTTATCAGACATATCCATGATTTCCATTGAACTGTCTGTGGATGAAGAGGAGCCATTCTTTTCCCTTGGGGGAGAGGTATTTTCTTGCTTTTCCATATTTCTTGTGGTCCTGTGGTGATTTCTAGTCATCTGATGGAAAAATACGTTTCTTCCAAAACTTGAAGTTCTATCTGAGCATCTAGGAGCATGCAGAAAAGGAAACAGAGAGAGAGAAACAACAGCAACAAAAACAACCAAGAAACAGAGAAAAAGACAAGAAAAAAATAAAAATAATAAATAAATAAATTTAAAAAAAAAAAAAGCAAAAATTAGAAAACCGTATGGTGTGCAAGCACACCACATGAAATCACTAGTTCTCAGTAGCCATGAAGGGGTCTTCTGTGGCCTGTGCCCTTGCCTTTCCTGGGTTGGGAGGAGAAGAGGGGATTATTAACAAGATAAAGTGAAAGGAGGGGCTGAGAGCCCAGAAACTGCTTAACTTTAAAAAAATTTAAACAGGAAAAATTACAAAAATATAAGAAGACAGAGACAGAGACAGAGGTAGAGAAAGACAAGAGGCTGCAAAGTCTTCTTCCTACAATGTGAGTTTGGGGGCTGGAGGCTGAATTATCAGTGGAAAAATCTTCATTTCTCCTAGTCTCCTGAAATCACTGTTCTCAGTAGTCATGAAGGGGTCTTCTCATGGCTCTCTATTTCATGGCTTAGGCAAGAGACTCTAACTGCAGGGGCAGGTGTTATCTTGTTGTTATTGCTTTAGATTGGGTCTAGCTATGTTACAGTCCTTCTGCTGATTAGCTGGGACTACAGATGTATACCACTGTGCCTAGCTTTTCCAGATGAGCTGGGATGGGAATTAAACCCAGGCCTTCACCTTACCAAGCAGCAACATTCAGTGTGTGCTACCACAGCTGGACCAGTATGTAATTGATACAAGAATAAATAAATCACATCTTAGAAGTAGCTCAGAAAGACAGCTGGAACCAAAGCCATGCTATCAATCTGACAAGTAGAATCTTATTTTTTTTTTCATTGCCAGAGGGTATGTGAAATTACCAGAGAGAAATGGAGAGAAAAGGAAAGGGAGAAAGTACCCTCTGATGGGGCATGGTCATACCACAACCCTTTTTTGGTTTCTCCATCTTGTCAGGATTTGTGGCACACATGCACACACACCTAGCATGTTTCTCAAGGTGCTGCTGCTGGGATTTGAACTGCAGTTGGCCATGTGGGATCCAGATCCCTTAACCACTAGTCACAGGACTGGGTCAACAACTAGGATCTTTAACATTATTCCATTTTTAATAATCTCTCTCTTTTATGACATTTTTGTCAGTGCAGTTAATCAAAAGAAACCATTTTACTTTTAACTGAAAGCCCTACCCTGCCATTTTGTGATGTTCCTAACTGGAAAACTTGCAACAAATATCTAACAGTAGAAAGGACGGTGCAAAGGAATTCAAATCCTCCTGGTCTATGTTTATAGTTGATAAGCTTCTCTGCAGCAGGCAATGTATAAATTAGCTTATATCCAAAGGGAATAGAAGCAGTTATGTGGAGGAGATTAAGATATGCCTGTGGTGAATATATGTGCCACTTTTATATTTACAAACAGGAACTTTTCTCATGGCACTCCCTTCTCTAGTGTTGCAGTACCATTTGGATACATGTATTCAATACAGATTTTTTATAAATAAAACACCTCCCAATATAGATAAGTTTTTCATTGTTCTCTCCACCCCTAAGGAACAATGAAGAGGACTTTGTTTCCAAATCATAAATTTTATTATCTTCTAATAATAGGAGCATCTCAGGAAGGGGGGAATACAATGAACAAAACAACAGGATTTACCCTTTAAACTCCTTTAAAAACCTACCAACCTTTACTTTATAAAAAAAAAAAAATTGTGCAATAAGGCAATTCCTGTTATAGGCTCTGACATTTAAAATCCCCGTGTACCATGTTTAATTTATCAAGAAAGAAATGAAAGAATTATACAGCTGAGGAGCTAAACATGGCCCCTTTTAGAAAATATATGAAATTTTCAAAACAGAAACTGGAAAAAAATTTAAAAAACAGGAAAGTAGGAAATGTCATTATGGTCAATTTAAAGTAACTCTACCCAATTCCTTTCCTTCGTTGAAAATATAACTCTTATTTTCCTAGACAAATATGTAGTTTCCTTAAAACAATGTTAAAATATGAAGACAGCTATGCCATCTTGACTTGGGGGGGAGCAGTCATGCACAAATTTGTCCCTGAAGTTTGGCTACTGTGACAGATTCCCACTCTCCCAGAGAGTCTGAAAAGAGATGTAATACTTCTAGAAAGATTTCTGATTTTTAAATATTGCCAGTACAGAGAACAGGTTCTAAAATCAGAGAACAGGTTCTAAAATAAGAGAAATAAAAACAGAACTTGGAGGTAACAGGAAAAGGGATTCTATTCCAAAATCTTCCTTCAGCTTTCTGAGAGAGAGAAAACAAAATTGTATTTTGCTTTAGACTGTCCCTTCCCCTGTACCCCTCTGTCATAAGCCCTTATGGTACAGCAGTCAGTGGCAGCGCGGGAAATAATGAGCACAGGACCATGGGCATATCAGACTTCTTGCTACCGCCTCCTGCCCTTTGAGATTTCAGTTTGATGAACTTCACATAGGGCCTTCTATTTCCTCCTTTAGTTGAATCTCTCCAGTTCAGCCTCAGGTATATCTAGACTTGAGAAGATTGAGAAAGGAACCAACACTTAAATCTGGCCATACCCTTCTCTGATTGGAAGATAAGGCCCTCTCCCAAGAATATACCTGAGAAGTAGAGCTCTTCCTCCTCCCTGACACTACAGAGAGAACTCCAAAAAATTAGGAATATATGTATAACTAACTCATCAGATGGCCAAAACACCAGTGCAGAGGCACAAGGATTATGAGAAAACAAGAAAATATCTCTCGCCCTCAAGGGAACAGAACAACTCATCATCATCCACAGACAGCAGAATAGAACTTTCAGAAATGTCAGAAAAAGAATTCACGGGAACCAGCAGTTAGCGTAATGGCTATGTCGCTGGATTCCCACGTAGTCATCCCCGGTTTGCGTCCCGGACCCGGTGGCTTAAAACTCACGCCAGGCACGTGTGCGTGCATGCCCAAGATCCCAAGAGGAGAATGGAGGAGAAGGGATTGCGGCGTGACCATCCCCTCTGGAGGGTGATTTCTCGCTTTCTGTCTCTATGTCTCTCTCTGTCTGTCTGGCGAGCGCACACGCCCTGTAGCGAAAACCTTTCCAAAAAAAAAAGAAAAAGAATTCAGAATATTCAGAGTGACAAAACTAAATGAGATGCAAGAGAAAATAGACAACCAACTCCAGGAGATGAGGAAGTCCTTCCACAACATGGAGGAGGACATAGACACCATAAAAAAAGAATCAAACAGAATTCTAGAGATGAAAACTATGATACAGGACATCAAAACCTCCCTCGAAAGTATTAATAGCAGATTAGACCAGGCAGAAGACCAATATCTGATCAAGAAGTCAAAATCTCTGACTTAGATAAAACTACTGAAAAGAATTTCTGTGAGGCCAACACACGGAAAATACTGGATACTATTATACACCCAAATGTCTGAATAATTGGTATTCCAGAAGGAGGAGAATCTAATAAAGGCACAGAAAATGTATTCCATGAAATATTTGCAGAAAACTTTCCAAACCTAGAGAACTATTCAGACCCCAAATAGAATCAACCTAAAAAGGTCTTCTCCAGGACTAGCAGATGGTGTAATGGTTACATCACTGGACTCCCACATGGCTAACCACTAGTCAAGGCCCAGACCAAGTGGCCTGAAGTTCATGCTGGGCACATATGTGTGTGTGTGTGCCCAGAATCCCAAGAGGAGATTGGAGGAGAAGGGATTGTGGCTTGGCCCTCTCCCCTAGGGGGTGATTTCTTGCTTTCTGTCTCTGGTGAGCACACACACACTATAGCAAAAATCTCTCTTTAAAAAAAAATTCTGCTCCATGGCACATCACAGCCAGATTGGTCAAAACCCAAGGCAAAGACAATATTTTAAAATTGGCAAGAGAGAAACATCAAATTACTTGCAAAATGTTATCCCATTAGGCTCACATCAGACCTCTCAAATGAAATAATGCAAACAAGAAAAGAGGGGAAATGTATTTAAAATGATAAAAAAAAAAGCAATTTCAATCAAGAATACCCAGCAACACTTCCCTTCATATGGAAAGAACAAATAATATTCTCAGATAAACAAAAACTGAAAGAATTCACCAATACTAAACCAGCTCTTCAAGAAGTACTGAAGCAAGCTCTATATCAAGAAAACTAAACAAAGACAAACATAAATAAGAAAACCAAAAACAACCAAGAAAATGGCTAACAAAGTGGCAGGTGGCAGGGATAAGTCTGCAAATATTGACAATAACACTGAATGTTAATAGATTAAATCCTCCCATTAAAAGACATACACTGTGCTTGCTTCAGCAGCACATATAGTAAAATTGAAAGGATACAGAGAAGATTAGCCTGACCCCTGTGTCAAGAATGACACAAAAAATCGTGAAGTGTTCCGTATTTTTAATAAAAAGACACACACTGATTGAATGGATTTTAAAAAAGGAAACCCTCTACATCCTGCCTACAAGAAATGCACCACCCAGATAAAGACAAATATAGAATAAAGGCTGGAAAAAGATATTCCGAGCAAATGGAGGGGGGGGAAGGGCTAGAGTTGCAATACTTGATATCATATAAATAGACTTTAAGACAAAAAGTATAAGAAACATATAAGAACACTATTTAGTATTAAAAGAGCTAATTCACCAAGAAGATATAACACTTACAAATATCTACACACTCAACATGGGAACACCCAAATACGTGAAAGAAAGACTGGTAGATCTAAAGGGGGAGATAGACTGCAACACACTAATCATTGGGTATTTCAATATCACACTGTATCCTTTGAACAGATCATCTAAACAAAAAATAAGTAAAGAGATACTGGATCTAAATGATACCATAAACTGAATGTATTTGACAGACAGCTATAGTACTTTCCATCCAACAATTACAAACTATTCATTTTTCTTACTACTGTATGGAACATTTTCAAAAATTGAACACATGACTAGGCACAAAACAAGCCTTTACAAATTCAAAGGTACAGAAACCATATCCAGCATCTTCTCTGAGTACAATGGAATTAACCTTGAAATTAACTGCAGGAAAAAAACTCAAAAATAAAAAAAAAAAACATGGAAACTAAACAACCTACTCTTGAATGACTTTAGAACCACTGGAGAAATTAAGACTGAAATCAAAATGTTCATTAAAACCAATGATAATGAGTACACGAGTTTCCATGACCTATGGGACACAGCAAAAGCAGTCTATAAGAGGAAAGTTCATAGCACTTAGTTTGCATAAGAGAAGAAGGAAAGATGGCAAATTGACAACACACCTCAGGTCGGGGGTGGGTGGGAAGGGAAGGGGAGAGTTTAGAGAAGGATAGCAAGAGAACAAATAGAGAGGCATGACATTAGTGTGACACAGAAATGCTTTATTACCTATTGATGATAACATGTATAGTATTCTCCACTGGACTGGTCTTAGAAGTATTTCATATTGGATAAATCCTTTATACAAGCCAAATGATATATATAGACTGAATGTTTAAAAAAAGAGAATAAATAATAATAATAATCTGAAAAAAATTATGAAAAGCTATTTGATGATGATGATGATGTGGATTGTAATGTTCTTGTCTTGACTGATATGCATGGTAATCATGCTGGAAAAAGAAATGTAATACACTGTAAAGATATATGTGATTCAATGTAATATAAAAAAGATAAAATTAAAAATAAAAAATACACCTCAGGGAACTGGAAGGACAAAAACTCTAAAAAAATAAATAAATAAATACCAGGAGAAAAGAAATAATAAAGATTAGAGCAGAAATAAATGAAACAGAGAATAAACAAGCTATACAGAAAATAAATGAAAATGAACCACCAGTTAGTGTAATGGCTATGTCACTGGACTCCCATGTAGTCAACCGTGGTTTGAATCCCGGACCCAGTGGCTTAAATTCACGCTGGGTGCGTGTGCACGCATGCCCAAGATCCAGAGAAGAGAATGGAAGAGGAGGGATTGTGGTGTGGCCATCCCCCCTGGGGGGGTGATTTCTCGCTTTCTGTCTCTCTGTCTCTCTCTGTCTTTCTGGCGAGCACATGCACCCTATAGCAAAAGCCTCTAAAAAAATAAATAAAAAATAAATGAAAACAAAGCTGGTTCTTCAAGAAGATAAACAAAATTGATATACTACTAGATAGACTAATCATAAGAACAGAGAATGAAACCAGATAAGTCAAATCAGCAATGAAATGGGCAATATGACAACAGACATAACAGAAATACAAAAGATCAAGAGAAAATATTATGAGTAACTGTATGTGAACAAACAAGAAAACCTGGGTAAAATATACAAATTTCAGGACATATATAATCTACCAAGATTGAATTAGGAAGACATAGAAAGTCTGAAAAGATCAATAATAAGCAATAAGATTAAATCAGTACTAAACAATTTTCCAACCAAAAAAGCCCAGGTCCTGATGGCTTCACTTCTGAATTCTACAAAATTTTAAAGATCTATCCCCCATTCTACTCAAACTATTTCTACAAATCCCAAAGGAAGGAACCCTCCTAAATTGATTCTATGAAGCCTCTATCACTCTCATTCTAAAAACAGACAAGGATATCACACAAAAAAAGAAAACTACAGACCAATAGACCAATATCCCTGAAGAATACAGATGCAAAAATTCTGAACAAGATACTAGCAAATTGTATCCTATGTCACATCAAAAAGATTATATGGTATGACCAGGCAGGCTTTATTGCAGGGAGGCAAGTGTGGTTCAACATATGCAAAACAATAAATGTAATAAATCATATTAACAGAAGGAAAAATAATGATCTTATTGATCAATGCAGACAAAGCATTTGATAAAATACAACATCCCTTCATTATTAAGACTTTCAGCAAGCCAGGCATTGCTTACAAATCACCTTATGCTACCATCTCTCTGATCTGCAGCTGATAAAGCTCCTCTGTTTTTAAGAACTCAAATAACTGGGACCAGCAGTTGGCCTAATGGCTATGCCGCTGGACTCCCATGTAGTCGACTGTCGTTCAAATCCATCCCTGGTGGCTTAAACTCACGCTGGCATGTGTGCATGCATGTCCAAGATCCCACGAGAAGAATGGAGGAGAAGAGACTGCGGTGTGGCCATCCCCCCTGGGGAGTGATTTCTTGCTTTCTGTCTCTCTGTTTCTCTCTGTCTTTCTGGCAAGCATACATGCCCTATAGCAAAAACCTCTCAAAAAAAAAAAAAAAAAGAAAGAAAGAAAGAAACGAACAAACAAACAAACAAAAACCCTCAAATGATTCAATTGGAGCCACCTAGATAATCTCAAAAAAATAAAGACTCACAGTAAAATCAGCATAAGGGACATTTCTCAACACAGTAAAGATAATCTGTGAAAAACCCTTAGCTAACATCATACTGAACGGGGTAAAGCTAAAAGCCTTTCCACTAAAAACTGGAACAAGATTAGGCAGCCTACTTTCTTCACTCCTTTTTAACAAATTACTGGAAATCCTCACCAATGCAATCAGACAAGAGAAGAAAATAAAAGGCATAAAAACAGGGAAAGAAGAAGTGAAATGATCTCTGTTTCCAGATGGCATGATTATATACATAGAAAACACAAAAGAATCCACAAAAAAAAAAAAACCCTTAAAAGTGAAAAATGAATACAGTAAAGTGGCAGAATACAAAACCAACATAGAAAATTCTATGGCACTTCTATACACTAACAATGAACAGACAGGTAGAATTGAAGAAAGAAATGCCACTTACAATAGTCACGAAAATATCAAATACCTGGGAATAAACCTAAACAAAGAAGTCAAAGATCACTACAAGGAAAACTATGAAAATGACTTTCACTATTTATTTAAAAATAAATTGAAAATTACACAAAAAAGTGGAAAAACATCTTATGTTCCTGGATTGAAAGAATTAATATAATCAAATTATCAATTAATATATTCAAAATGTCAAAATGTAGAATTGACATTTAAATTATAAATTACATTTATAATTAACTTATAAATTTAATCCAATCTTGATCAAATTACCAGAGATATTGTTCACAGAAATAGAAAAAACAGGGGCTGGCAGGTGGCATGGTAGTTAAGGGCTCTGGACTCCCACATGGCCAACCATGGCTTGAGTCCTGTCGGCTTACTTTCTCTCTCTCTCTCCCTCCTTCACCTTCTTTCTCTGTCTCTCTCTGATCAAATGAAATAAACAAATAAATAAAATAAAATAAAGTTCAATAAAATAATTATTTTAAAGAAAAAAAAGAAAGAAATAGGAAAAAAACACAGTCATAAAATTTTTCTGGAATCATAAAAGTCCACATAATGCCGAAGCAATAATGCACAAAAAGAATAAAGTAGGAGATATCTAACGTCCTGACCCCTAAAAATATTACAAACCTGTGATAAGCAAAACAGCATGGTACTGGCACAAAAACAGGCATGTAGACCAATGGAAGAAAATAGAGAATCCAGAATTAAACCTCAAAACATACAGCCAACTGATTCTTGACAAAGAGCATAAGACAATACAGTGGGGAAAATAAAACCTCTTTAGCAAATGGTTCTAGAAAAACTAGATATCCACCTGCAGAAAAATAAAACTAGACCCCTATCTCTCACCTTTAACAAAAATCAACCCCAAATGACTCAGCCATAAAAAACAACAAGACCCTGGAATTTGATAGAAAGTGGTCGGATATGGAGGATCTATTGCTGAGTGAAGTAAACCAGGATATTAAAGAGAGATATTGTATGTATCCACTTAATATATATCGACTATCTGCTTTATGGTAGAGATCGAAATATTGGAGGGCATAAAAGCAGTGAAAATAGTTAGTGAGGATAACACAGTATGGAACGGGGCGGAAGAAGAGAAGAGTATGGAGAAGGATAGCAAGAGAACAAATAGAGAGGCATGACATTAGTGGAATTCACATAGGGTTTATTACCTGTTGATGATGACTTGTATAGTATTCTCAACTAGACAGGACTGAGAAGTATTTCAGGTTGGGTAAAGTCTTTTTACAAGCAAAATGATAAATAGTGATTGATTGTTTAAAAAAATAATGGGAATAATAATAATCTGGAAAAAAATTAAAAGCTATTGGATGATGATGATGGGGATTTCAATGTCTTTGTATTGACTGATATGAATGGTATTCCTTCTAGAAAAAGAAATTAATACAGTATAATTATGTGATTCAATGTAATATAAACAAGATTATGATCATAAAAATTTAAAAAAAATAAAAGGGGAAATTCACCCCCAAATGGATCAAAGATCTAAACATAAAACCTCAAACTATAAAAGAAAAGTATTTAACAGAGAATAAAAGGATTCCATGAGTTAATAAATGCAATAATTTGGAATTATAAACTAAGTGCCTAATAAATGCCAGCTG